TGCCAGAAGTTGCCTTCTTTGAAGAGCGAGCGGAGCGGAATTGGCTGTGGAACTTATGTAATAGTCTGAATTAGTGTGTATATGAAGGAAACTGCTGTGATTGGGTAATATTTTCAGAAGGTTTCCAAATCGAAAAAATTATTTAATGTTTTTTTTCCCGCCATTTTTCTCTCCAAATTATGGTGGGGTTCTAAGACTGGCCTAGTTTATATGTAATCGCCTTCAAACATGATCTGACATACCACACTACTCCATGTCCTCATCTACACATCTTCAATCCGTCTCAGTACTGTCCAACAGCCGTTCTTCGAGGCTCGCGGCTGCTATGGAACCATGCTCCAAAAACTTAAGGGAACTAGAGACGCTCGAACGTGCCTCGCGCTGCCTCCCCCCTACTCACCAATCGAGCCGTCTCTTATCTCCTCCTCTAAGCCTCCCCATGCCCTGCACAACACCTAGTACCAATAACCACTAGATCGAGTAAAACTTCCAACCGTTACCCAAGGACAGCATTTTCATTAATTCGAGCCTCCCAAGGACATCACGCAATATCTCTAACAACGGAACTGCAACTAGGCTGCACATCGGCACACATGCACTCTTTCTTTAATTAAAGTCCTATTCTCAATATCTTACACAACAAACCTCTACTCTTCCATACGCTCAGACCCATATCCTTATACTGCGTCACTCACTACAATCAGCCTACTTCCTCACACTCGAGCGAGTCATCTCAGTCACCACTTCCACGCCCTCAGCTCCTCCCCTCTCCTCCTACCTCCCTCCCCCTACTAAACAACACAGGCGTCTCTCACTCCCATGCGCCTGAAAATCTAGCGGCTAACTCACCCGGCGCTTCTCGGCGCTCGCAGACTTAACGGCGCCCTACCGCGGGACTTGCTCGGCTACGTCTGCTGTGCTCTATCTGCTCTGCAACTCGGACTATGTCCAACAAAGCAGACCGCTTCTAGCCTGCAGCATACCCTCAATCTATTAAGAGCTACGAGCACCTCTCTCCGCGCCTGCATTCCTGTCCTCCTCGCTCCTCCTCCCAGGCTGCCTCCTACTCCTCCTGACCAATGATCTTCTTCATACTAGCGCATGCGTACGCACGCCGCTCCTCCCAACAGTTCGCGTCCTCTCTGAACCATCCAATCCTCCCCCTCACAATCAGCCTACTGAACAAACATTAGTCTCCCACTCTCGGGTCACTCGGTGCTCGTTCCTCTGAGGACCGTTCACTTCCGCGCCACGAATTAACCGTAGCCTGGAACTAACGTGCCTTCCCAAATACTTATTCATTGACCACCAATAACGCATCCGTGTAATTCTAAGAAGAATTGTGAAAAAGAACTTGAATATATACCCAAACTATTTACTACTCACATTCAAGCTCGCTCCTGAGTCCATGAAAACACCATTTTTATGAACTGCTGGGAAAAAAATTAAAAAAAAATTTTAAAAAACAGACAAATCAAAATGATATATATACGATATCGCACTACATTAGCAGCACGTACCTACTAAAAGCCCTAATTAATTGTTATGGAGGCAATTCAACTAAACCATAGCCATTTACATAATCGTGCCACAGGCAGTGGCTTATCTAAAGAGTATTTACAGTATCATAAACAGGACCATAAAGGATATATCATTTGTGACAGTAGGGGGCGCGTAGCATAGTATTGTGGACAGTAGTCGCCTCCTCCGTCCTGCGCTCCTCCTCGGCACTCCACTCCTCATCCCCTCGTCTCACACCAACTTTTCGTCTCACTAACCTTCTTATTCGATCGTCCATCCCCCCCCCCCCTTCCCTTGCTTCTTGTTCTGCCTTCCTCTAGCTAGAGCCGGTCTCAACTTGTACTTTACTCAACGAGGCCTATTGATCTGGCCGTAGCCACTGTCCTAGCACCTAATCTGCGAAAGCTAAAGCGATCTGACCCATAGCCAGCGAGCCTGGCAATGCCTAAGTTAGCTACCGCGACCTCACGATCTGGGTCCCATCAACGCTTCTCCACACATTGCAGTGCAACAGGTGTTTTGAGAAATGTATGTCCCGTTGGTAATGAGATAATATGTCGTTTTTAATGAGATCAATTATCCTCGTTTTAATGAGATAAAAATAATTTCTCACAATGTGCCCTTCCGGCTCCGTATATATGCCAATTGTACACAGATAAGATTTTTAAGGACTACTCTCCAGCGTTGTTGCACGGTGTAATCATGAGATGAGTTCTGTGAGAGGACATTCAAAAGAAAAGGGACTGACAGATGTGCATAGTTTGGCCCAGATCGCGAAATGCCTAATAATATAGTAATATTGCTGACACGGCTTGACTGCGATCTAAATGCAAACAAGCGAGAGAGAGACAGGAGTGAGGAGAAAGAGACCCGACGAGACATCAGGTGTAGGCAATATTTACTATTTTATTTAGTGCATTACGAAATGCCCCCCGTAAGCGGCAGAATCTGCACACTTCACTATCGCGACCTTGCTAACAAAATCGCAAGATAGAATACCACAGGCCCGCAAACAAACGTGAGAGTATCCGCTTAAATCATCATTATCTGTGTAAAAATTGGCGAGAGTGAGTCAGCGGAGCGCGCGGAGAAGCTGCCCGAAGTGTCAGAAATATTTTTCACGTCTCATTAAAACGAGATAATTATCTCAATTTATCACAACGACATAGTGGGTGATGCCTCAGTCATAACAAGCACATATTCTCACAAGCACCTGTGAACTGCATGTGGGGATAACTGCGATCGACGATTGCGAATGAAGAAAGGTCGTGGAGGAGACTCGGGAGGCCAGGAGGAGGAGCCAGGAGACAGGGAGGCGAAGGAAGGAGGAAGGGATGGAGATCGAATAAAAGAAAGGCGTCGTGCACAACGTGAGAACCCGCTCGTAGAAAGTTGGGGGGCAGGAGAGGAGGAGCGAGGAGGAGGAGAGGGAGGAGGAGGAGGAGGCGAAGAGAGGACAATACGTGTTGGAAGCGTAGGGAAAGGAGGAGGCGGAAGGCAAGAGCCGGCGAAAGGAGGAGGCACGGGCAGGGAAGAGGGCAGGAGCAGAATGTAAATCCGAGTAAGCCAGTTAAGCGGAATGAAGAGCGAACATCCCGCAGTTTGTTCGTCAAGAATACGGCACCGGCTTCGGGGGACTATGGCGGCGCGCATTGACGGGTGGGGGCATTGTTGCTGGCATGGGACGTGCTGCAGGGAGGCGAGGGGAGCAACGTGCAATGGAGCTTCGAAACGAAAACAGGACAGATCAGTGGGCCGAGAGAGAAGAGTTATGGAGGCATGTTGGTTGCCGTTAGCCTGCTTGGCGAGTATCTACTCAGCTACGGTGTGTAAAGAGAAACTGGCGAGGAAGGCCAGGAACGCCAAGGCTCGCCGGAGGAGAAAGGCGGCCGAGGCTAAAGAGCTAGTAAATAGGATTCGCGGCTAACCAATAGCGAGAAGAGAGTCATGGAGAGGAGTGGGGATCAGGAGGATAGGAGGGCGCAGGAGAGGAGGAGAAGGAGAGAGGAGGGAGTAGGGGGGGGGCCCGGCCACGCAGCGCAGGGTGAAATAGAAGCCGCGAACGACGTGCCGTCGCCCGGGCACAGGAGGGAAGGCAGGCGAGAGGGAGGAGGAGGGGGGGAGAAAGGTGTTGGAGTAGCGGGGCAATGAAGAGGAGGAGAGAGGGACGAGGGGAAGGGTGAGGGCGATAGGAAATTCGGGACGCGGGGTCAATAGGTGGGGTAAAACCGTCGCACGGGAGGTACAGTCAGTTCCAAGGACGCACTGGCACGGCGCAGAGAGAAGAGTCGCGTGAGGCAGTTTGAAGGAATAGCATCAGAGGGCGCTGCGAGCGCAGGGCCGCAGTGAGGAGAAAGAGTAGGGGGCCTCACGTGGGAGCGGCCGTACGACACTGGAGGAGGAGAGGAGGAGGCCGGAGATTCGTAGAAGAAGGCTTCTGTGAGAGTATGGAGACGATCAACTCTAAATACTCGTCGAATAAATACAGTAGTGCCGCGTCATCAGCGTAGGACGACCAGGTATCCAAGTAGCGAGGCGCTGTCAATCGCTGATTGAACAGCAGTTTCTGGAAAATGTTTCTTGTAGGAGCCACGTACGGTCACTAGCAACATGTAAGGGCGGCGCGGCACTGGGGCACGTGCCGAGGAGCCAGAACTCCAAGAAAAAACAAGTTTAGGGAGCCGAGTTGTTTGGAGATGGGCCTTCAAGCCGATCCATAAAGGGAAGGTGTTGGAGTATACGCGAAATGTCGTTGCGATGCCGCCCAGTTGTCGCGAGTGCGTTTTCAGACGAACCCTGGTTCTCAAGATATCTGTCAAAATGGACAAAAAGGGGGCGGCGTATTCGCTGTTGGGGCGCGGCTTTGCCGCGAGCTGTGCGCTGCGCGCAAAATCCGGGGCCGCAAGTCCGTCAAGGGTAGTAGGCGTTTCAGCCCTTAGTGAAAGGACCAGAGAGCACAAAAATGATAATTACTGCCTCTTCAACGTGTGTGAAATACAGCTTATAAAATGTCTCTAATCATGTCATATAAAAAATAACATCACTCATTATAGAGCTAGTAGCTTTATGAGCTTGGTTTACCTTACATGAACTTTATGCAAATTGGCATTGATAGTGACAACACTTACACTCATAAACATTATGGGGAGGGTGGAGTGATTGGATCTCCAACTTGGGATCTAGAATCCTAGCTTTGTATGGATTTTCTGGTTCTGGCCATCTATTACATCAACCCAACACCCATCCATTGGATGGGTACTTTGCTAGTTAGTGAATAAATATTACAATGCCAGCCACTGTCTATGTAGTACTTATGAATTGCTATATGCTACCTCGCATTATGAACAATGCAAGGCATGTCAATTAAAAGCTCACTGGTACCGGAAACCGTTGAGTAATTGTCAAGAGTGACAGATTGACGTAACCATATAGATGTAGATGTAGAATTAGCAAACATACTATAATGAATGAGTTTAATTAATGTTTCACTTAAGGATACATTCAGGGTTGTAGGTGACATTTGGTCAAAATTTTAATTTGATAGATGGCGCCTCTGGGCAGCTATGTATGTGTAGATTATGTATGTGGCCTCCCAAACAGTTCAAAATCCCCGCATATGCTTACCGGGATATTGTATGTTATTAGCAGTTATGTTGTAATGCCCCTTACAGTGGTACCTGTCTGTAACCCTGAGTGTATCCTTAAAGTTTTTAAGCTTACTAGCTTAAAAAGGTACCTTGTCTGTTAAACAAGGTGTGCTACTATTGTGATTATTGGTGGTTGGAAATTGCTTTCTATTTCACTTTTAACAGAATCACACTGACCTAGCTGTAGCCTGTATATATACTAGCGCACATTAAACACATGTAGGGTTGAATGCCATGGTTAGATGCCAGTAAATTTCGACCATACTTCATAATTTGACAATTTTCTGTTCACACCTTATAGACTAAACCTTATTTATATAAATCTCAATCCGACTAGGTAGACGTGTCTCTGTTACACGTACTTGTGAACGACTTGTGCTGGGGTATCCATGGGTGTGGAATCGATGTCGTACATCCTGTGCCAATCATACCTCCTCGGTACCAGTAGGCCGAAGCAACGAATATTGAAGAAGTTGATAAGGTTGCGGCATGGTCCATGGCTGTGGGGAAATAAGTGAACATGATGTTAAGCTAATGATTCGAACATGCTTAAGTGTCACGTTTAATTCAGCACATATCTAATTAGCAACGTTTGTAATTACAGTAAAATTTGCTCAACTCTATGAACGCATTGGATTTTGATATGCTTAACATATGATCGCATTATTGCATACAGCAGTGTAGCCACGATTTTAAACCCCCTATCGGATTAATTGCGGTAAGCAGGTTCATTCAGTCACACCACCTTGCCAAAACCAATTTTGGTTTCATTTTCACATTTTCACCAAAACTGTCTGACCAAAGAAAGAAAAGGCTCGAAAGGAACTTCAGTTACATAGGATTACTAGACGGGCTCCCCTCGTGGATAAGGAAATACTGTAACATGTCTTTTGCACGTGTTACATGAAGTAGTCAGCGAGGCTATAGACTAGGGTTGTTTGTTGACCAGTTAGTCTACGTAGACGCAGTGTCGCGCGGCTACATTGATGTTACAGGGAGTTGGATAAGCGGGTTTTAGATTAGGCAGTTTCGAGAGTCAGTGTGAAATAGGGGTAGGACGTGGTCTGAGAGAACGGGTGACATGTGCGCTCAGGATGTAGGGAGTTTTGGAGGAATATAGAGAGAGAGATGTAAGAGGGGGGATTTGGGTTCTGGGCAGCGAGCTGAGCACACGCGCGTATGCGCGTGTGCGCGTTCTTTGGATCTTTGTGCGATGTGGCTACAGTGTACAAGATAATAATGTTTATTCCGGTTACTACAACAAGTTTGACTTTATATCTTCATTCCTGTTTACATTTTGGTGCTCGTGACAGTCCAAAATCTGGGTATCCCTTTGTGGACACAACGCAAGTTACTTAATTCATATCGATCTACGGGCCAGCAACGAAACAGAGAAAGAATGACGGAGAGCGAGAGAGCAAGAGAGGGACGGAAAGAGCGGGTTCTGATGATGAGATGGGAGCCATGCAGACTGCGCTAGCGCCGACGACGATGGCGACGAGGATTGGCTGGAGATCGTGGAGATCGCGAAGGACCTTATACTACAAACGATTCACGAGCCACGGAGCCACGGAAGAAAACTGGAGAAGGAAGAAGATTGGAGCGAGATAAAAGGAGAGCGGACGAGAGAGCAAGAGAGAAAGAAGAAGAGAGAGAGGGAGAGTCAGAAGGAAAGAAGGCAATGCCCAGACGCCGGAGCAGACAGCAACGGAAGCCGAGAGAAGAAGCTGGAAGAAAGAAGAGGAAGATATATAATGCCGTGGTAAGTGTTGCAATTTTCCTAGTATACATTTCGCTGTGCTCACGCTGTTTACTGTCGCCTGACTGCTGAGTATACTGACGATATTGCCTGTGCGGACGGTTTGTGCCACAATAGAGCGTTATAGGGTGCATACGGTATAAAGTCGCGTATACACGGTCCGAGAGAAGGACTACGGGGATTTTTGTCACAGCATATATACGCTGGGAATCCTCCACATAACGTGTCAGGGAGCACGGAATAAAGATACGCTAGATGTGTAAGCACCCTAAGATACTGTACTGTACTGTAAGTGTAAGATAAGAAGGCACAGTAGATAACCGTATGATATAATATAGTTACGCACAGGTGTATAGTTGGATGCTATAGAGGGCTGGCGACGCGGTAATGGCAAGCACAGATGATGTTATTTTGGGAAAAGTGTGACGCTCAGTAGGCCTACGGCAGAGTATATTTAGTTAGGAACATGGCATATATAATGCTACTTGCGGAGCGGAACAATATTTATAATAATGAAGACCGATATAGTTGTTTCACAAGCTGACATTGTATGTATGTATGTATGTGTGTGTGTATGTGTGTGTGTGTGTGTGTGTGTGTGTCTGTGTGTGTGTGTGTGTGTGTGTGTGTGTGTGTGTGTGTGTGTGTGTGTGTGTGTGTGTGTGCGTGCGTGCGTGCGTGCGTGCGTGCGTGCATGTATGTAGGTTTATGGTTGTTTTATGAACGCGGTATTTTCTTCATGATCTAACCGTTTTTTTTTTGGAAAACCTTTGTCGTGAAACTTTGTTTAGAAATTTGTGATCGTTTTCTTGAATATCAAGCCAGCTACAGATGTTACTTGAGGAAATCAAAGGGAATCTTCCAGCATCACTCATGTTGCCACGCATCGGGAGGGGGGACCTACTGTACTACTATTCAATAATTAAGACAGTCGCACTGCCAATTGCGGATGGTATCCAAGTTGTGGCAGTGTTACCATTGCGGCATAGGGAGCAGACATTTACAATGTATGAAATATATCGGCCTCCTGGGTATTTCCCAAATTACACTACAATGTATGCATATTTTGATTTTTCACAACAGTTCCTGGGCATTTCATTAGATCACTCACATTATGTCAAACCTGATGCTCGCAGTGTACGCACATGTATTCAGGAGAAACGTGATATTTGTCATCTAAATACAGTCATTCGATCAACAAATATTGTAAATTCTTGTGCAATCGCTTTATTTAAGAATGATTCTAATGACATTGCAAGTTTCTGTCAAACGCGCATCCTGTTTACTGCATGACCGCAGCCAGCAGTATTTCATCTGGAGCAAGGAAGTTGGTATGTAGTAACGCCATATTCATTGAGAGTCACGGTTTCATGCCAAGATGCTATCATGGAAAAGGTATCGGTTAAAATTTTTAATGTTGAGGTACAAGGGGTAATTTCGTTAAGTCCTGGATGTAATGCAGATACAAAGGCGTTTTCAATTCCCGTGTATTATGTGCAAGAGAGTAGAATTATTTTGAAAAATTACGTTAATCAGTGGGAGGACTCAACAGCTGATGCGTTGGTTATTTGGAAAGAATTGTTTGTAGACACGGACATTAAAAAGGAAATGTATACGAAATTAATATCATCTTCGATTGTCCCAGAGAAATTGTATAAGGATACGGATTTAGATGTCGCTTTCGGGGAACTTACTGAAGCTGTCAAAAATAATGTACCCATTAAATCATTCGGGCAATTAGATTTTAAAGGGATTGGAAGTTCGCAATCAGTTGTACATCATTCAACAGTTTATGCATTGATCATATTAATAGGGATAGTTGCATTTGTTGCAGTTGTTTACTGTCGTTTTAGGAAAGTAGTTTGCCGGTCATCGCCAATCGTGAGATCAGATATCGTTCAAGGAACAGGTATAGAAGCGTCGGAGTCGCATAATCCGCCTTCGGATGGGAATCCAAGGACTTCGGGGAGTCATCGACTTACATTTCCTTTGTGGAGTGTGACAGCACCTCGGGAGAGTGAAGAGCAGGTTTAGTACAACACATCACGGACAGGTAATGGTATAGGACACACGGTTAGAATGGCGACACAAGTTACGGTGTGAGTGCAGTGTGAGTGCAGTGTGAGTGTAGTTGGGAAGGATAGCAAGTACAGAGTTTGACAAGTGAGTTGAAGTGCATGCAGGTGTTATGGTTGAGTGGGTGAGAGAGATGGTACCAGGTGTAAATAGTGTATATACAGAAGTGCTATTTATTAGTATTATTGAGTAAAAATCATATTGTGATTACATATTGCTGGTTCTAGTATCGGGAAACAGGCTATTGAAATACAATGTGAAGTAGAATGTAAGAGAATATTTGTGGGTAGGAGTGAACGGGATTAAAATGTTACGAGAATGGGGAGTAAAGGGGTTAAGAATTAAAATATTATGATTAGGAAGGATGGTTGTTTTAGTAAAGTGGGCTGGCTTGATATAGATTTTGAATTGTGAGTATTACATAGGATTGCGATTTTGATACATGTGTGCGCACACATATATTAAAGGCATGGTCATAGTGATATCGGTTAGGAGAGAGCTACTGTCCGGTGGTTTCGATAATTGTTGCAGATGCAGGGACATGATGAGAGCAGAGCGCATCGGACGAATCTTCCGCTGCACAGTTGGACAATATTTCGGCAGGACATTCAGATGGCAGTCGGTACAACATTTTGGCAAGAGGAGGAAGAAAACTACCTCCATCACTTCAGTGACTTCAATACTTCAGCGAGAATTCAACGTGCAAATTCAGCAGAGTCGACGACCTTCAAATTTGTGAGAACAATATTAACACAAACACTAATGTGTTAGCAAATTATCAGTGCTGGTGAACTTTTGGCAAAACCATTGGACATTATCGAAGAAATTAAAATGCCACAGCACATTTTGACAATTACGTCCTACAATCAATTATTGCATCGGCATCAGAAGAAGCAGCGCAGAGGATCAGTTTTGCGTATTTTTGTTGGCTGCACGTACACGCAGATACGCGCACGTACACGCGGGTACACGGAGATACACGCACGTACGCGCGGGCAGGCGGGTACACGCAGGTACGTGCGTGTACGTGCGTGTACGTGCGTGTACCCGCGTGCACGTGCGTGCACGTGCGTGTACGTGCGTGTACCCGCGTGTATCTGCGTGTACGTGCGTGTATCTGCGTGTACGTGCGTGTACCTGCATGTACGTGCGTGGTGTATATGCATACTTTTCATACAAAATTATTTCATCCAACTGATGTAATGTAGACCAATGTACATGTACAGAGTGTTTCAAAAACGTATTATTTCAGGACAGTTTCCAATATTCTCTCCATATCCATGGATTACTATTTCAGCAAAATCTGTCCATACCAAATTGATCTTTCAGTTCTCTAATAAATGTGAAGTAGTGTAAACAGTAATGCGCGTATAATGTAGACAAGAATGAATGTTCACGTAGTAATGATGAAGTAGATCCAAAACTTGTGTGGTAAACTGTACAATCTTTAATATCTTAGACACATCACACAAAGAGACAAAGACCGCGCACACGCGCCTACGCGCGTGTGCTCACTTTCGCACCCAGAACCACACTTTCTCAAAACCCTTACCTCTCTCTCTATATATTCTCCCCAAACTCCTACAAACCACATGCTCCACGCACATGTACCCGTTCTCTCCAGTTCCAACCGTTCCCCTCATTTCACAATCACCCTAGAAACTGCCTAACCTAACCACGTCTGCCAATCTCCCTAATACATCAATGTAGAAGCGCATCTGGTTGAGCGACGCTGTCTAGCTGGATTATGACTAAAACAACTACCAGGCTAGCTCCACGCACTAATCCATGTGACACGTGCAAAAGACATGTTACATTATCTCCCTTTTCCCCAAAAACGATGACTAGGGTAGTCATCGAATCAGTGTCCTCACTGATCTACACTTCAACCTAACGAGAGAAACGTCTTTCTGTCCGATTACACAACCCACAATCAATACACAACCATAACAACAATCAAAATACAATAAAAAACACATATGAAGCGTAGAAAACAAGTAACGATAAAGTTTGACCAAAATATAAGTCAGAAACCCAACACATTTGACAGTGAACATTCTGATATCGCTGCAATTACTATCACTCTTGCGTATTTTTATGGCTGTAATGTACGTGGCGTATGCGTATACCAACACGCATTACCGAAACCACGTTATAACTGGATTATATCATCATAATCCCAGGGCACACAGGGGCCCATGCACACAGGCATTAATAAACACGGCACTGATGTGGTACTTTGTCACTTCCACACATCATACGGCCAACAAAATCATCATATATCATCCATCATACATCATAAACGTGTACCCGCGTGTACGTGCGTGTACCCCCTCTGTGCGTGCCTGCCTGAGCAGCCATTGTTTACAAAATTGACTAGCTTAGCCTCGTTTTGGTGCGATGACCCCAGGTCATTAATATTATTTAAGACTGGTGTAAATACTGTAATATACTGAGTAGTGTATAGTTTTGCAGGCTATAATGTCACCAACATATATGAATTTGTTTCCACTTGAATTAATGAAGAGGGTAAGAAATAATGATCAGTTAATCAAATCACATATTGAATAGGGTTACATTGTTGTT